GACAGGGTTTCACCATGTTGACCAGGATGGTCTTGATCTCTTGACCTCGTGATCCACCCGCCTCGGCCTCCCAAAGTGCTGGGATTACAGGCTTGAGCCACCGCGCCCGGCCTGATAATGAACTTTTAAGGACGATAAAGGCCAAGGGACAAACATCCCAAGCATCAGGAATAGCAAATGCAGAGGTCTTCAGGCAGGAAAGAGAATAGTGTGTTCAGGAGCCAGGGCCACGCCCACTCTTCAGTTCCCTCCTAGCATAATAATACATGAAGAGCCTTAACCGAGTTGTCAAAATGGTGTTTACCTTACACAGTGGAAGTTTAAGCCTGCAGTGAGGTCATGGACTCAAGGTGGAGTCTGAATGTGAAGCCAAAGCACCTGAGTCCCCCACTGCCACTCAGGCCCACCAAACCCAGGCCTGAGCATGAAGACAGAGAAGAATGTGTTGAGCTGTTGAGGCTTGGAAGAAGGCAGAGGCCTCTTCTTTATTTTATTTTATTTTATTTTATTATTATTATTTTTTTTTTTTTGAGACAGAGTTTCACTCTTGTTGCCCAGGCTAGAGTACAGTGGCATGATCTCCACCCACTACAACATCTGTCTCCCGGGTTCAAACAATTCTCCTGCCTCAGCCTCCCAAGTAGCTGGGATTACAGGCATGCACTGCCAGGCCCAGCTAATTTTTGTATTTTTAGTAGAGACGGGTTTTCTTCATGTTGGTCAGGCTGGTCTCGAACTCCCGACCTCAGGTGATCTGCCCGCCTTAGTCTCCCAAAGTGTTGGGATTACAGGCATGAGCCACCACGCCTGGCCAGAAAATTATTTTCAGTAATAGTCACGTAAGAATCATTGTTATATTTCTTTTTTCGGTCTTTTGGTAGGAGGGAGCCTGCTTTTTAGTTTTAAAACAATTAACAATTGATCAAATAAATTTCAATTTTAAAGATATTACTCAAATCCAGTATGAATGAATATTTGCACTTGCTGGCTGGGTACGGTGGCCCATACCTATAATCCCAGCACTTCGGGATTAAATCATTTGAGCCCAGGAGTTCAAGACCAGCCTGGGCAACATAGCTAAACCACTTCTCTACCAAAAATAGAAAAAATTGGCTCAGCTTGGTGGTGCATGCCTGTCCTAGCCATTCAGGAGGCTGAGGTGGGAGGATCATTTGAGCCTGGGAGGTGGAGGCTGCAGTGAGCTGGATTGTGCCACTGCACTCCAACCTGGGTGACAGAGTGAGACCCCATCTCAAAAAAAAGAAAATTTGCGGGCCGGGCGCGGTGGCTCAAGCCTGTAATCCCAGCACTTTGGGAGGCTGAGGCGGGTGGATCACAAGGTCAAGAGATCAAGACCATCCTGGTCAACATGGTGAAACCCCGTCTCTACTAAAAATACAAAACATTAGCTGGCATGGTGGTGCATGCCTGTAATCCCAGCTACTCAGGAGGCTGAGGCAGGAGAATTGCCTGAACCCAGGAGGCGGAGGTTGCGGTGAGCCGAGATCGCGCCATTGCACTCCAGCCTGGGTAACAAGAGTGAAACTCTGTCTCAAAAAAAAAAAAAAAAAAAGAAAGAAAATTTGCGGCCAGGCACAGTGGCTCATGCCTGTAATCCCAGCACTTTGGGAGATTGAGGCAGGCAGATCACGAGGTCAGGAGATCAAGACTATCCTGGCCAACATGGTGAAACCCCCTCTCTACTAAAAATACAAAACATTAGTTGGGTGTGATGGCACGTGCCTGTAATCCCAGCTACTCTGGAGGCTGAGGCAAGAGAATCCCTTGAAACCAGGAAGCAGAGGTTGCAGTGAACTGAGATTGCGCCACTGCACTCCAGCCTGGCGACAGAGTGAGACTCCATTTCAAAAAAAGAAAATTTGCTCTTGCCAAATAAAAATACTACAACTCAAAGTTCATACCATTTGTTTTTTGTGTGGTTTTTTTGTATTTTAGTAGAGTATTTTGTATTTTAGTTTCACGATCTTGGCCAGAATGGTCTTGATCTCCTGACCTCCTGATCCGCACACCTCAGCCTTCCAAAGTGCTGGGATTACAGGCGTGAGCCACTGCACCTGGCTTTCCGGCGTGTGTGTGTGTGTGTGTATGTGTGTGTGTGTGTGTGTGTGTGTGTGTGTGTGTGGCACAGTGTCTCACTTTGTTGCCTAGGCTGCTCTCCAGCTCCTGGGCTTAAGTGATTCTCCTATTACAGGTGTGAGCCACCACACCCAACCACTTTAAACTTTAAACACAAAAACTCGAAAGGAATATGTAGAGTGACAGAATAGTTTCTTCATGTTTATAATTGTTGTGCTACTATTTTTATTTCTAATACATTATTAAAATGCAAGAACATGGCTGGGTATAGTGGCTCATGCCTGTAATCCCAGCACTTTGGGAGGCTGAGGTGGGTGGATCACGAGGTCAGAGATGGAGCCCATCCTGGCCAACATGGCGAAACCCCATCTCTACTAAGATACCAGAACAAAACAAAACAAAACAAATTAGCCGGGCATGGTGGTGCACGCCTGTAGTCCCAGCTACTCGGGAGGCTGAGGCAGGGGAATTGCTGAAACCCAGGAAGTAGAAGTTGCAGTGAGCCGAGATCGCCCCTCTGCACTCCAGCCTGGTGACAGCGAAACTCTGTCTCAAAAAAAAAAAAAAAAAAATTAGCTGGGCATGGTGGTATGCACCTGTAGTCTCAGCTACTCAGGAGGCTGAGACAGGAGAATCTCTCAAACCTGGGAGGCAGAGATTACAGTATGCCGAGATTGTGTTACTGCACTCCAGCTTGGGCAACAAATTGAGACTTCATCTCAAAAAAATAAAGAAAATATATTTATATAGATATAATGTTAGAAAGTGGTAAGTGTTACG